GCAGAATATATATATATATATATATATATATATATATATATATATATATATATATATAATTACAAATAATATAATTATTTTTTTTGCATTATCTTCTTGACAATGAAGTAATTGCAACAAAGGAATGATCATAAAAAAGTGCATTTTCTTAAAGCTAAAATTATAATATATATTGCATCATATAATTTTTTTTTTTTTTTTTAGAATTTGAACCTTTTTTGGCATTATTTCTGTGACAATTAAGCAAATGCAACCAAACAATGATCATAAAAATGACTTTCATTTTCTTCAAGCAAATAGATTTTGGGGTGAAATATGCCATTCTTGATCAGATGCATGAGATTTACCAACCTGTCTTGATTCACATTCAAAAAGTAACTAGATCTGAATCCTGTTTTTCTGTATTTCAGCTAACGGAACAGCAGGTAGTCAGCTCTCGACCCCACGGTCAGGCAAATCTCCCAGTCCATCTCCCACCAGTCCAGCCAGTCTGAGAAGACGAAGGGTGAGATTTAAAATACCATTTACATGATGTAACTCAAGTGGAACTGACTTATTTACATTTGCAATTGCAATATCTTTCACTGCATCAAGCAAAATCATCAAGCAATTTCACCTTTCTGATTGACCCTAATTGTATTCCAGGTGCTTTAATTTGCCAATATAGTGCTGAATCACACTGAATTGCAGTTGAACACATCCATACTAAATAATTCCATGTTCACCCAAAATGTTTCCTAGCAACAACAGACAAGCTTCTTGACCTGGCTGTGTGCCTGCTCCATTTCCACTCTCGGTGATAGACCTAAATCATATGGTTTGACAACATTACCCTGTTTGTCTGCTCTGCTAACTTACGGTGTTAAAATAGATGTATTTGCTTGTGTTCTGTATAGCTCAAACAAGTAAAATTCCTAACATTCTATTAAAAGTTAATTTAGCTGTATATTCTTTAAAAGCTAGTTGGATTTTCACAACAGTGTCAACACGGTGGGCTCATCCTGAATTACTTTTTTTATTTTTTTATTACTGGCATAATGGCTGCTAAAAATGCAGCTTTGCCATACAGGAATAAATTACATTTTTGAATCTATTCAGATAGAAAATAGTTATTTTAAATTGTAATAATATGTCACAATATTATTGTTTTGATCTATTTGATCAAATAATTACAGCGACTTCTTTCACAATTATTACAAATTCTTACTGACCCCAAACGTTCGAACAGTAGTGTCTATATACAAGAATCTATACATATGCCAAAAGGTTCTTTGGAATACCTTTAAATATTATTGCCTGCTGAAAATGAAAATTCTCTGAAATGGAGATGTAGTACCTGAAGACAAACATGCAACATTGTTACAACTAAACAGACATTTGAATATAATATTCAGTGCAGCTAATATTGTCTGTCTGAAAATTGATTCATTCTTCACTGATGGTGTGTTTAAATAAAAATGTGATGGTGTCAGTGGATTAAACATCGCTGAATTTCACCTCGCCTGCCCCGTTCCAGTCTTGAATATTCTTAGCACACCCAAGCTGTTTCCATAGAAACTGACCTTTTATTTCCCTCTGCAATACCTATCCTCAGTTTAAAGGGATAGTCCATCCAAAAATGAAAATTCTGTAATTTACTAACCCTCAAACCTGTATGAGTTTCTTTTTTCTGTAAAACACAAAAGACATTTTGAAGGATGTTAGAAATGAAAAACTTTCGATTTTCTTTCGACTTCCATTGTATGGACAGACAATTCAATTGGAACCGAAACTGTTTAGTTATCAACATTATTCAGAATATCTCATTTCATGGTCATCAGAAGAAAGAAATGTATACAGGTTTGGAGTGACAAGAGAGTGAGAAAATTATTGGATGTACTGTCCCTTTAAGATCCCTTTGGGTCTATTTAATACAGAATATCAATATTTATGTTTTATATAGTAACTAACAGATAATAAAAAACAAAATGATTTCAGTCTCTTTACTAACCAAAAAAAAAAAGTTGTAAAGTGGCCCTTCAATCTCCCTGACAGGGCTCTCAGCACAGTGGCTCCTCCCTCTCTCTGGCCTCCACCAAGGTGTGCAGCTCCATGGATGAGGGCGATGGGCCGGGCAGTGAAGGTGAGGAACCCTGGGAAAATCTGACGAAGGTTTATCATTATTGTTTTATCATCTTCATCTGAATGTTACATCCCAAATCTTTTTCCTTCTAGCTGAGCTGATGGAGGATTGTCCTCAGGTTCCTGCTTCCATAGCCGAAAGGTACAAGGTGGGGCGAATGATTGGCGATGGGAACTTTGCTGTGGTCCGAGAGTGTGTGGAGAGATCCACAGGCCGAGAGTACGCTCTGAAGATCATTAACAAGAGCAAATGCAGAGGGAAGGTGAGACGACTTCAATATACAGTATTTCTAAAAAATACTATTCAGTGAAGACAATGCACAATTTTTGATATCACACAAAATAATGATGCAGGATCATCCGCGTTACATTGCACGGCTTGTCTGTGGCTCACAGGAACACATGATCCAGAATGAGGTGTCCATTCTTCGGAGAGTGAAGCATCCTAATATTGTTCTGCTGATTGAAGAAATGGACACATACAGTGAACTTTACCTGGTCATGGAGTTGGTCAAGGTGAAACATCTGACATTTCTGTATATAAATATGTTGCAATATGAATTAAGTTGTTGGAGCTCAATAGTTTTTTTTTTTTTTTTTACATATATAAGTTATTTTATTCAGCAAGAATGCATTAAATTGATCAAAAGTGATAGTAAAGACAAATTGTGTTTGTGTAATGTTGCAAAAGATTTCTATTTCATGTAAATTTCAAAATTTCTAAGTTCAAATTTCTGTTTATCAAACAATCCTTTACAGAATAAATTACATTTTAAAATATTAAAATAGACCTGTATTGTTTTCAATTATAGTAATCTTTCATAATATGACATCTTTTCAGTAAATTTTTTAGATTGCATTAAACTCGACTGCTCAGATATTGCCCCTGAATGAGCGATGAAATTGTGTGTGCATGAACAGGGTGGTGACCTCTTTGATGCCATCACCTCCTCCAACAAATACACAGAGCGGGACGCCAGCAGAATGCTGTATAACCTGGCCAGCGCTATCAAATATCTGCACAGCCTTAACATTGTTCACCGTGACATCAAACCTGAGAATCTTCTGGTGGGTGTTTGAGTATTACGGAGGGAATATTGTCACTAAAAATCACAGTGGTACTTTCACAATTGCAACTTTGAATGACACATGTAAGAGAGGCAAATGCAGTATGTTTTTCTGGAGTGCAGAAAGCTTAAATAATCCTTCTTACACAAGCTTTAGAACAGCGATAACAACTCAATACTGGGCCAGGTTTACCCATCTTACAACTTCAGACACAACACTGTGTTCAAAGTAGTGTTTCTGTAATGACAGCATAAAGAACTAAACAGAACTGACAAAGGCTATTGCGCCTGGCTCACATATTAATATCCTGTGAGTTGTGTAAATTTGCAGCAGATAAGAATAATGCATGCTGTAAATTGACTGCAAAGATTAAGATTTTTTTTTTTTTTAGCAGTTTACCAGTGAGATAAAGCTGAAAACCAGACACAAACAGTCTGGAATCTTATTTGAGCTTCCCTTTCAAAAACTACTAAAACTAAATATTTAATTTGATTAATTTTAATTATATTTCGTTTTAATTGTTGTAATATATATATATATATATATATATATATATATATATATATATATATATATA